TAAGAAACGCAGAGGAAAAAGAAAAGCGCCTGTTATTTGTTACCTGTCGAAGCGTGTCCTCCCCTCCCTGCCCCCCATAGCTGCTGATCACTTTCAGGGGTAAATGAGGGTAAAAGCAAAGAAACGGCACCAAAGACCCAAAAACTCATCTCGTAACCATGGGGCCGTGACATCGGCAAAGGAGCCAGCCCTGGCGAGATGAGCGGCGGATGACGATGGCTAACAAACCGCTTCGTTGGGCATGCGTCCCCAGGTCGTCTGATATCTGTTTCGTGCGACGCTCTACCAGCTTTGCGGCGCGCCAGGCGAGCTGCTCGGTGTGAGAAAGGACGGTGGGCGACGAGGGAGGCAGTGGTCGAGAGATACCTACTCGAGGACGGAGTACCTGTCAGTCTCTTCCGTCCCTGGCAGCACTGCAGCAGATATAATATAATACATAACCACCAACTCTGTGAGAGCACCACGCCCGGGATGCCTTGCCTTGCATCAACCATCACTCGGAACAATATATTCACACATCTTACCTCGTGGAACGGACAACAAAACCATTGTTTCTGCTCCGAGGTATATACCGCTGCAAGGGAAAAGAAACATGGAGTGTACATCCAAAAAATGGCTGTCAGAGTGGCTGAAATTGAGATCTCCTGATGGTCCGACTGCGCGGAGCTTAACTAGTTGAACACAAACAGCCAACAACCTGTGATATCTGTGATGGAAAGCAGATCTGGGAGTTCCACTGCGAACACGCTAGTTGACCAGGGATTATCTCCCTGTTTTTCTTTTTCTTTCTTTCTTCCCTTTGCATGGCCAGGTGAGGAGCGAGCCAGGATGAAGCTCTGTTCCTGCCGGGGGTTGGTGGACATGGAGACGCCCAAAGGGACCCCCATAAGGAGTAATATTATTATGATTTGAAGAAGATGGAGAAGCAAAGTAGTAGCAGAAGAAGAAGAAAAGAAAAAGAAAGAAAAAGACCTTCATGTCGATCAAGGGATCTCGAGTTTAAGGGGCCCTCGGCTTGCTCTTCCCTTCTCCATCTCCCAGTTGGGTTGTGGGATGAGATGATATCTGATTGCTGCTGTTGAGCCTGATATCCCGCCTGGTGAGCAAGACAGTGGGTTGCTTTCTTCTTATTTTCCGTCTTTGCATCTATATATTATAATCATCGAGTCCCTCCTTTGCGATCCTACTATCTTCTTCTTCTTCTTCTTCTTCGTCCTTTCGTTCTCTCATTTATTATACCACTGGACGCCGAGCATACGGACATAACCAAAGATGAGGTCACTATCATTCCTGGGCGTTTCCTCGCTCGCCCTCTCCTCCCTCGCCCTGCCTACCATGAATCAGAACCAGCATCGATTCGTGGGCCTTGCCGATCTTGCCGATGAGGACAAACCGCAAGCTATCAAAGATGCATTCAGCCATGCGTGGAAGGGCTATATGACTTACGCTTACCCAATGGACGAACTCCGGCCAGTCTCCAACGGGGGATCCAACCCACTGTACGATATTCTATTACCCTATTTTGCCTTTGTTATATACGCATACATCATCTACAGCAATCACCATTTGTCGCTCCATGCTTATTATTATGTGTTAGGAACGGTTGGGGAGCCACGCCAGTTGATGCGCTTTCGACTGCCATCATCATGGGCTTGCCAGATGTCGTGAACCAGATCCTGGATCATATTAGCAAGATCGATTTCAGCAAGACAGACGATCTCTGCAGCTTGTTTGAGACCACTATCCGCTACCTAGGGGGTTTGATATCTGGTTACGACCTGTTGAAGGATTCAGGAGCTATGAACGCAGATGTAGGTCCAACTGTTGCTTAGCTATGGAGGCGCACCATTAACTACGGGTTTAAGGTTCAAAATCACTGACTATTATTCTATCTAGCCCAAAAAAGTCGATGTCCTGCTCAAGAAAGCTGTAGAGCTTGCGGATGTCCTTAAATTCTCATTCAACTCTACCACCGGCATTCCCTCAAACACCCTGAACATTCCTAAGCAGATTACTGTAAGTCGTTGGCTGATATGGTATGGGACATGGCAGGGTTGACACGGCTTAATGTAGGACGGCGCCACCAGCAACGGCCTTGCAACGGTCGGAACGCTGGTTCTTGAGTGTAAGATTCTATCTGATACGATGTGACATCTCCATGGCATACGACTAACTGACTCGTCCGTAGGGACGCGGCTCTCTGACTTGACCAACAAGGAAGAGTACGGCAAGCTTGCCCAGAAGGCTGAGGAGTACTTGCTCAACCCCCAGCCCAAGTCGAACGAGGTATTCCCCGGTCTTGTTGGAGGAAGCATCAACATCCAGACCGGCAAGTTTGAGCGTGCCAGCGCCAGCTGGGAGGGTGGTGATGATTCCTTTTACGAATATCTGATCAAGATGTACGTCTACGACAGTAGTACGTTTGGAAAATACAAAGACAGGTAAGAATTCATGCACCCAGTATCATTACAAACCAATCAGTATTGATAAATATATATATATAGATGGGTGCTGGCTGCCCAGTCGACAATTGAACATTTGAAATCTTCCCCTTTGCTACACCCTGACACCACATTTGTTGGAGCCTGGGCAAACGGAGCATTGGTCAAGAGCTCCCAGCATCTCGCTTGCTTTGATGGAGGCAACTTCATCCTCGGCGGACGAGAGCTAAACCGACCTGACTTCACCCGATTCGGACTGAAGCTGGTTGACGGCTGCCACAAGACTTATGCCAACACAGTGACCAAGATCGGACCTGAATCCTGGGGTTGGGACGAGAAGAACGTCCCCAGGGACCAGGCTTCCTTCTTCGCCAAGTCTGGCTTTTATATAAACAGCTCTGGCTATGTCTTGAGACCTGAGGTCATCGAGAGTTTCTACTACGCTTACCGAGTCACTGGAGACAAGAAGGTATGTATACTCGTCATTCTATGCACACGGGTTCATATGTTGCTTTCTCGACTAATTTCCCCTCGCTCTAAACAGTATCAACAATGGATCTGGGATGCCTTTGTGGCCATCAGCGAAACCACAAAGACGGACAGCGGTTTCTCCTCCATCAGCGATGTCAACGCTGCTAAGGGCGGATCCAAGACGGACAGCCAGCCCAGCTTCTTCTTTGCAGAGACTCTGAAGTACACCTACCTGGCTTTCTCCGATGGTATGATATTCCCTTGGAACTGCCTTTTACTCCCAAATAATGTTCAGATTCGAGGTGGCTAACTTTTTTCTGCAGAAGCCGACTGGCAGATTAGCCGTAGTGGAAAGGACAAGTTCGTCTTCAACACGGAGGCTCACCCCATCCGTGTCCGCAACTAGGCCTCTTCTAATCAACTTTCCTTTCACTGTACATATTATTCTTTGCGCTGCAAGGCTGTCCGCCCTTCTACTTACCTCTTCTAATTCAACTTCTTGCCTGCTTCTTTGCTTTCCCCGGATTTTTCCTGCTTAGTAATCTGCTTTGTCATAAATTAATAATCTATCACTATTACCTAATCTGCTGACCAAGCGACTGAGTCTGACTGGCTCGGCTAGCAGCGGGATTGTCCTTGCCGAGGCCGCGGCTGGCGTCTTGCGGCCGTTTCCCCCACAGAGTGAGTCCCCGATCAAGCAAGGAAAGCCGCCCAAGGGGGAGCGCTGGGACGTTTGAGGCCGGTAGCGCGCGTCAGCAACTGCACTCTCCTCGCATCGCCAACCTCACCAGCACCAGCATCGCCATGTCTGTCGTTACCTGGGCTGAGGCACGGCGACACCACATCACGTAACTGCACGAACGCCGACCCCCCGAGCGAGCGGACGAGAAAAGAAGATTCAGGCCGAAGGCAGACGAAAAAACGGGCGCCACAGAGAGAGAGGGAGCCACAGCAGACGAGCCGGGAGAGAGCCGGGACGGCCAGACGTGAGGCATGGAGGGTGCAGAGGTCGAACGGCCAACATGGAGCCGGGCGTCGAGCCGGAGAGAGTTCTTGCGCACTTATAAGGCCTGCATGTCCTGCCGTCAGCGCAAGGCGAAGTGCGAGCTCGGCGGGAACAACGATCGCGGGATTCCGCCAGGCCCGCCGTGTCTGCGATGTCGCAGAGAGCAGCGGAACTGCCAGTTCAGCGAGGACCGGGCCTGGGCGCGCAAAAAGAAGAAGGGTAATTATTACACCTGCTGCTGTTTACTGCCACTCCTCCCCGCCTTCCTCCCCGCCTTCCGCCGTTCCGCCCAGGTTTTTTTGTTTTTTGCTTTGTTTTGTTTCTTTTTCTCTTTTCTGCCGCCGGAGGGCGGATAAATGGCGGGAGTTGGGCGGACAGGCGGGACTCATAACGCGCATCTTAATGTCGTGCAGCTGGGGTTTGGGGGATAATGCTGCGTACATGTATGGAGCATTTGGCTGACGCTCATCTTGAATCTTCTATATTAGATTCCACCACGAACACATCCGCACCGGAGACGTCAGCCACTTTCTCCACTACCACTGCCGCTACCACTACAAACGCTGCAAATGCCGGCGCAGGGCAAATAGCCGGTGCTGATGCGGATACGGAGGAAGCCAACCAGGTGAACCAATCGGCTCATGATGGGCTCTACTCCGTATCGAATGCTGGGGACACACCCTCCTCAACGGGGCACCATGCTCACAACATACCCGGTGCGACTGGGGGGGCTCCCAATTCCAATACCAGCACAGCTAGCGGACATACAAGCATGCATTTTGACCCCGTCGGCCGCACTGCGCCTGCTACACCGGCTAACATGAGCAGCACCGGCAGTTTGTCACCTGTCTTGACCTCTTCCGCTACGAATAATGTCCATAGACGCGATTATCGAGGTAGCTCATCGGATCGTCTTCATGCCGGTGCACAGTCAAGTAGTTCCCATGGACTGCATACTTCAGTCATGCGAACTGTCGTGTCGAGTGGGAACGATGCGTTGAACATTCTCTTCCAAGCTGCTGCACAGGAGCAGGACAATGAAATGATCGATGTCGAATCTACTGATCGGCGGCCATCCATATCGAAAGAAGGTGGTACTGGGGATGATGTTAACGGTAGTGCTGGTGCAGGTACCGGTACAGGACAGGAACGCCCCTACTCGCAACATCAAAAGACACAGTCCCATGCAGGAGTACGCACCTACGATACGCCAACATCAACTATCTCGTATGGAGGTTTTCCCACATCGGACCCGACGCAGCTCTCTCACGTCGAACCAGACGTATTGGCTGTTTGGGATCAGTGCCGTTTTGTTAAGATGGGCTGGTTCTCATCCCGAGAGGCAGTGACTTATGTTGATATGTATGTCATTACCCTGCTCCGCAGTCCTTTTTTTTTTTTTTAGCTATGACTATCTAACTGACTGTTCTCAGGTTCTTCAAGAATATGGCTCCTTTATCTCCCATTCTTTCCCATTTCTACTCCCATCATAGAAATCACTACTGGCTCATCTCCCAGGAGCCTGTTCTATGTTGCACTATTCTCATGATTTCATCCCGATACCATACCCTACCCGGCGTGGGCGGAGCGTCCCGAGGCTTCTTCATCCACCAAAGGCTCTGGCAGCACTGTCAACATCTAATTATGCGCGTGATGCTCGGGCAGGAGAAAGGCTCCAAGGCCAAGACTCGCACTGTTGGGACAATCGAGGCCCTATTAGTAATGTCAGAATGGCATCCCCGGTCTCTACATTTCCCACCCGAGAGTGATGGATGGGACTCAGATTTGATGATGGACAATACTCCAGAACACCATGACTCGACAAGTCCGGACTCCTCTGTGTCCGCATCAAGCAGATGGCTGGAGGATGTCATTGAGCCTGCACGCCGTTCGGATCGAATGTCATGGATGTTGCTTGGTTCTGGCTTAACTCTAGCACATGAACTTGGAATCTTCGATACGGACGATTCAAGGGCTAAAAGCCTTATATCGAGCCCGGAAGGAGAACACCACGGTTTCCCAGTTGAAGAAACCATGAATTTCCCTCGCCATCGTATACGCCAGCTGCTTTACGTGTTTATCAATCAGCTAGCATCCAGGCTGGGGTGCATGTCCCTAATGCCGCAAAGCCTGAACCATTCCATAGTTGCCCCATCGTCGCTCAATACTGGTATTGACGAGTGGCAGACTTTTATGAACTCGTGGATCGAGTTGACGAAGTTGGCAAAATCCGTTACGGACATGTTCTTCCCCTCTGCAACATTTACACGACAACAGTTGCATAGTGGCCGGTATATTGGGCTTCTAGATCACTTCCGCCCATTACTATCTCAATGGCGGCAGAAGCATCTGGACTCTAAACGTAAGTGTGGCGCACTTCATATCTTCCCTGCCCCGCTAACAGTATATATACATAGACCTCTCACGGCCTTTCGTTGATATGATATTCATTGAGTATCAGTTTGTTAGAGTCTACACCAATTCCATCGGAATGCAAGCGGTCGTGGAGCGTGTTCTCAATGAATCAGACCCCGACGTTGTTATGGATGACGTTCGCCAGGCAAACATGGACGAAATTGACTATGAATTCATACAAGAAGTGATTGACGGCTCATGCAACTTATTACAAAAAGTCACCACGCTCGCCGAAAACGGTGCTCTTCGATTCTCGCCAGTCAGAATATTCCTACGCATCACAAGCTCGTCAATATTCCTTCTCAAAGCCCTAAGTTTAGGTGTGCGTAATGCCAAACTTCAAGAGTCTCTTGATATCTTGACAAAGAGTATCCAGGCTCTGCGATCGAGTTCACTAGATGACATTCATTTAGCCTCCCGATATGCAACACTGCTAGACTCTCTGCTCTCACGACTACGAAGAAGCTTTGTGCTATCAAATAAGAATCCAAAAGTCAGCCGGTCGACAACTCGCCCTTCTTCTGTTACTCCCTTGCCAAAGAACCAGAATGCTTCGCCTGCAACCCAGGGTTTGCAAGCATCACCACAACAACCACAGCAGCAGCAGCAGCAGCAGCAGCAATTACCCCATCCTCTACAGCAAACTCAAGTACAGTATTCTCCCGAAGGAGTTGGCTCTGCCCCTATGAATTCCTCCATGGATGTTTCTAATAATCCTGTCTTTGAGGATCCGATCTCTTCATTAAATGACATCAGTGCCGATGACTGGTTATCATTGCCCTTTGATCCTTCAATGGCACCCTTTGGAGACGGTAACAACCAGGCTTGGTCCGGTTTCGAAGGAGCTAATTTGAACTTCATATGGAACCTACCTTCATAAGGACATACGTTTCAAGTGGTGTCCTCGCTACTTTGATGTCCATATAAGGATACGACCTGCAATTTTTTCAGCAAGTCACGAGCCTCTGAATTATAATTTCGTGGAATGTAAGCTTTCTCTCAACGACTTGCTTCGGGAGACTGCCTATCGTGACCCGGAGCCTTGTATCGTCTCTCACTTTGACGGCCATATATACATGCACATACATCCAGCAAGCGTATGCGCATTCACAGTTTTTCAGGAATCTAATACCCGAGTGTATTTAGCCAGCTACTAAGCCAGTTCAAGTACAGATGCTTAATTCCAGATTATTTCAAGGTCAGAATCCCCGAATATGAACACAACTAGCAACCCCGTTACTAATATGTATCTTTCACAGACATTATCACATTATACATATATATATATATATATATATATATATATACCCTTTATATCAAATTTTGTTTCACTCCATGTATCTCTGCTCCTAGATTTTGTATTTTCAGCGAACCGAGCCTAATTCTTGAAGTACATTGAGCAATAGATTCCCCATATGTACGATACAGCTAATGAAATGCAGCCCACCCGTCACTGTTTTTTCGAAGTAAGAATGTGAATCGTTATTTTTCCACCCCCTTTTACTTCAGCTCTCGTCAGGGCGTCCTTTCTGGTAGATATATGCTTGAAACCGATCTTCTCATACACTCTTTGGCTGGCTATATTCCCATCAAACATCGAGGCTCGGACTTCCTTGATGTTCATATGCTTCCTGCCCCAGTCAATCACAGTCTTCGCTGCCATTGTCGTGATACCGCGTCCTTTATGGGATGGGCTAAGGAAGTCTGCACCATTTTTATCAGCCATAACTCCAACAATGGTTGGCCTATCTGGGGGCTTATAAAGAAGCAGAGACTTACTCCCCATTGCCCATATTATGCTTCCATCTCCAGCTTTCTTTGCAGCATTGGCTTCAAATTCTGCCTCTCGCACTGCATCATCCTCGATCTCGTAGAAGTCATTTCTCCTTATACCTATACAGCCTATAAGGGATTCCTTGCCAGTTTCTGGGTCTACCTCTCGAATTGAAGTCACTGGACAGCCGCTCAGGAAATGGTTGGTTGTCTCGTTTCCGTGTCCGCCTCCGTTAATACTACTGTTGTGTGCTTCTATTTCCTTTCTAATTTGCACCGAGCTGGGTATGCTGACTGTCCTCAGGTATTGCCTTGCCTCCTCCACGGGGTATGGGTATGGAGGGCCTTGCAGCCATATTGCTACCTCGAAATTGTTGAGGATACTGATGAGATCACTGGCATCCTCGATCCGTGGAGGAGTGATGATAATGTTTGGGTGCCCGGGTATAGTCAGGTACGGTTCGCCCCCAGGCCGGTCATATAGGAGATCGAAATCCATGATTGCTGGGACGCTTGCTTGTGAACGAAATCAGGATTTCTGGGGGAAGATTATGGCGATGTCTGGCAGCGTTGCGTGGCCTCAGGGTTTTTGTATTGAATCAACCCCTGGACCTGTATGAGTCAAAAGCCAACAGCTCAGTTCGTAGGTAACCAATCACCAAGTATCGGGCAAGGCTTAGCCTCAGTCTACGCCGCTCCTGATCCTTCGCATTCTGACTATCGTAGCCCCCTCGTCAACCAGGTACTCGACCATTTCTCCGTTTAAGAGCGGGAGTTGAAAATCGTTGCCAAGCTGGAATCTTGGGTGAGCTGCCGGTGTAGTTTTTTTTTATTTAGCTAAACAACGACTTTCTATGTACATACAAGCAAAGAGATCATCATCCATCATCATTATGGGGGGTCCATTTATTTACATAAATCTCGTGCATGCAAGTCTAGTCTCCTCAAGCTCATGAATTAAATGGCTAAGCCACGGGGATTAACTTGGTATCTGCGCGAAGGAAGAGGCTAAAGGAGTGATAGAAGGAGCAGCAACCTTACACTCGATTATTCGATTCGAGCTGCTTCTGCCCAGGGCCTTATTCGCGTGACTGGTCCCTTATAGACATGCCTGGCATGCAGGACGTAATAGATCAGAGAGAACATGACCACTCCTCCAAAAATGGCACAGCTCCAATTCATAGTTGTCACGTCAACTTTGCTAGCCAAGGGGAAGAATGAGAAACTAAAGGCGATGAGAAGGAAGAGTATCGCCATGGTCTCAACTGTGCTGGACCACCGGCCCATACTCCATCTAGCTGGTGGAAGTGGCTCACCGCGCCAGCGCCTGAGGCGAACGCAGGCGATGGAGATAATGTACGACGACAGAAGCGAGGCAGTACCAAGCGATATGATGGCCTGGAACGCAACTGTTGACCCGATGTTTATCAGGGATAGCAGGCAGACGATGAAGAAGCTGACACAGAGAGAGTTGAGAGGGACGACGAAGCGTTTATCTATCTATACGGTAATTATGGTCAGCGGTGCGATGATATATAGAGCTTCGTGCCCGCATTCGGATGCCACGGGAGAGTGAAGCCATAGTTACCTTGGCAAAAAATGAAGGGAAAGGAATGCCACCGTCACGGGCGAATGCATAGAGCTGGCGGGAAGTAGTGGCAACATTGCTGATGGCTGAACAGGCCTGAAGGACCAATATGAGGGATGTCATTGCTGTTGTTGCCCTAACAGACTGGGTAGCATGCAAGAAGACGGAAATAAAGGGGAAGCCGGTCTGGTCTTTGAGGACTGCATCGATGTCATACACACAAAAGGCGTATGTGATGAGCATAATCAAACCGGTGGTTCCGTTCAAAATGAGGGTCCAAAGCATGCTCAGGGGTAATACTCGGGAAGCATCCTTGATTTCTTCGGCTAATACCAGGGGGTCAGTCAACATGAGTCGGTTTTTTCAATGGTGTAATAGAAGGTAGGAAGAGAAGGCGTACACATATGAACGGCGGAATCAGGCCCTATACATTCAGATTAGTGATTTGCGTGCCATTTCAAAGGAATATATGTTCAATACCAATAAGGGCATAGATGGGGGCACCTAATCCGACAAGACAGGCGAGGCCATTATTTCCCCATCCCCCCCGGTCGACCACATTCAGGAAGACATCCTCAGATGAATTCAAGGGAGCCAGGACCCAGAGAGGGATCAGGACCGCGAAGAATCCGAATACATGGACGAGGAGGATGACCCCCTCGATGAAAGGCAGCTTCTGTGCAAAGAAGGTATTGAAGACTATAGCCACGAGGGCTATGGCAATAATCAGCAGAGTACCATGCCACCGCTCAGGTTGATAGCCTGGGTTGTTTATTGCAATAAGGCCGACGAGCATGTTCGCAACTGTATAGGAGCAGCCCGCAATGCCCGTATGCCAGCCGAGGACGCAGACCCAGCCGGTCACATAGCTCAGGAACCTCTGGCTGCTGGCCGGCGCGAATTCAGAGACCCAATGGTACTGTCCTCCAGACGTTGGAGCCCTGTAGAAGCGAGTATATGGTGAGCATGCCCTCTACCTGCGGCCTGGCCTGGAGGGAGGCCCGTTGAAGACTCACATCGAAGCCATCTCGGCCATGGACAGAATCACAAACGAGAAGCCAAACAGCCCGCCGATGTAGGTGTAGATCATGCCACTCAGCCCTCCGTTTACTAGACCAGTAGTGCTCGCTCTGGTATACAGACGGGCGACATCAGCTTCTCATAGTCCATGGTTGTGTGCATTTCCCCTTCATCTCGCAGTGTTGTTGGACGTACATCATGACAACCTCCCACGTACACATCAGCACAGCTGCGAATCCCAAGACAGACACAAATCGAAAGTTCCTCTACAGGGAGACAATTAGCCAGTTATTCAAAGAAGACGGCAAAGAAGAGTCGCCTACGTTCAACTCCTGACTGTTGCCGATTCGATACATGTCGCGTTTGTCCTGGAGCGTTCCGCCGCGCATCGAGGAGAGGCTCTCGCCGGCCTCCTCGACCGCTGGGCTGTTGGCCTCTGAGGATAGGTCATGCTTGATCTCCGACTTGAATCCCATGGCGACGGCCTGCTCGACACTGCTGATGGGTGGCAGGCGGAAGCAGGAACGGGAGCGCAAGACAGAGGGCCTGGGGGCGGCCGTCCTTTAAGAGGGAGGCCAGGAGAGCGCTGCGGGAACCTCGCACAAAGCCCGCCCGCCGTACAGATGCCGGACGAAACGACACCCGGGGTTTTTCTTTGGGGGGCCATTTTTTTTCCCCGGGGGGGGGGGGGGGGGGGGGGGGGGGGTCTTTCAGAGCAAATGGACATGTTCTCCCTTCTGGGCTGAGCAGGGAAGACGGAGAGCTCTCTGCTGGTCTCCGGGGCGGCAGGCTCGCTGGATGGTCCGGGTATATACATACATGCAGCTACACATACAGGCTCCTGCTCGCAAGGGGGGTCAGGCAGGATAACTATACCGCACCCATGGCTTTACGGTGACCCCGAGTATCAAAATTGAGCAAGGATACAACGGCAACAATCACTGTCAATCAGGTGAACCGGGGAAGACATGCCACCAGCAAAGGACTGGGTATATCAAGGCCATGCAGGGCATGTTCCACTGCAACCAACATCTGCGGTCTCCCTCGCCCAGAGACACGGCGTCAGTCTGTGCCAATGAACGGCAGAGCCGGGGCCAGAAGCTTTGGCTGAAAGAAAAGCTTGAGGAGCTTTTGCAGGCTGCGCTGAGTCTTTCTTGCTCGTCTGGTGCTATACCAGCGGAGGACTATAACTAGGGGGCTTGCTGCCAGGCATAACGATGTAACGATCCACTGGCATCTCTGTGCTGTCGTTGGTTTAACCAACTAATTACCAGGATCTCGAACTCGTACGAGGTCGGCCTGCCAATGAAAGACGCCATCATTACTGACAGGACTGCGAGGCCCGGAATCCGCACGCTGTCCCGGAACGCTCAGGGTGTATATTTCGACCTTCCTGCTGCTATGAAGGTGATTTAAGCGTCGTCACCGTCTGTTATCTGCACGAGATGTCAAGCTCCTCCGCTGGAAAGCAGAAGCCCCGCTAGAGAATGAATGGCCCTATTTCCACGCTCTTAGTTAACTACGGTGGCGGAAGTTGGGCTATAACAATATGTTGATGGCCTGGACTGGTCAAACTTGTGACCTGACCCCTTCGTGAGGTCCGCGTAAGTACGACCGAGCAACTCCATCTCCGTCATGTATGTCTTAAGCTTAAATAACGGTTTATTTAGGTTTCGGCTCAATGCTCCTGACTTCTGGTTACAGGCCATCCGGCTTTGTTGATCGTCTTTCTTTGTCTGATGGCACACAAAAACGCCAATCCGTCTCGCCATCTTTTCCCAAGCCAGAACTATCGGGTAACTAGTTATGTACAGCCAACGCTTTCGGTTGGAAATCCCTTGGTGCGATGATTGTTACGCCTAGGGATATCGTGGCACATTCGCCTGGTATCACAGGGAAAGATCACCTTCTTGTCCACGACACTTTGAGTGGCCTTCTTTCCCCTTGTTGGGCCCTTGCTGCATTACTCTATCATACTCCCTACCAATGTGCAACGTAAGGTATTTTTCCCTACGCACATACATGCATAACACTGTGTTAATGTAGGGTCTCAACTCCCCGGCGCCCTGTAGCACGGACAGGATCCTTTCCGACGTTGCCCTTCTCTCCAATTAACAAGCCATATCTGAAATATGCGTCATCTCGACGAATCCACTCGACTCACTGCCCATGTCTTCCCAATTAATGTGTGCTTGTTTCAACCATCTCTGATGTGATCGTTCATTTCTGATGTTGGTGGAGCACATATTCGCAACGGCCCCCAGCCTCCGGGCTCTGGCATGAGCATATTTAGATATTATTTAATTTCATTGCATCCTGGATACCGATGTGCACTTGGGCAGGGGACGAAAATCAAGGCGTACAAGGGTTTATTTTTTTTTTCATTAGGACTCTGCCCGGACCAGAGCACCGGGAATAGTTGAACGTCTGCGCTCTCGAAAAATACCGCGAGTCATTGCTCCCTCTGGCTGACCTTTTGCATTTTCGTCTTGCCATCAAGTCCCTGCATCCCCGAACAAGAAGACTGCATTCGTTACGGAACTTTTACACTGCTCCTATTCGCCCGTGGTCTCCGCTAAGTGACTTGAATTTACAGATCATATATACAGAGTAACGCATTTACCAGTGCGCTTCTTTTATGGAGTCTCTCATATCGTTCTTTCTGATAACCATAGCTTGGTGATATCAGTTGGCGTTTCATCGCTTGCTTGGTTTTCTCCAGAATATCTCCAGAATATAACTTCATGCCACGGGACAATATTTCGGATTTCAAGTCCAACATTTGCACAGCATTCCAGGGCTTGAGAATCAATGTTCCTTTGTTTATTGATGATTACGAGCCGACAACTTAATGGAGAGCCCATTTAGCGTCCCAGATGGTCACCGCGCCCACCATGTCACTGATACCGACCAAAGTGGACATATCGTTATTGTCTCAACACTTCTGATGTCGTGGATGGTGTTGTGCTTCTTCATCCGGATATACATACGTTCAGATATCAATGGCCCTTTTGGACTGGACGATTTGGTGGCAGGGATAGGATCAGTATGCTATTCTGACTTCTGAGCTCTTCTGGCCTGGCCTGACTAATTCTAGCTAAAATACTATAGATGTTAGGCATTGTTCATGTCGGTGTGTTACTGAAAGCGGTCAGCCAGGGAGTAGGAAAAGCGAAAGAACACTTACGCCCGACTGACATAAATACCGCTGAACAGGTATGACTTTTACCTCAATTTTACCATTCTCTAACGGTTACAGTGAAACGTGAAGCTGACTCCATCTACCAGACTCTCTATATCAGCGATATACTCTTCATTTTGGCATATTCATGTGCCAAAGCCGCCGTTGGTCTGCTCCTATACAGGTTGGGGCGTGACACTCTATACAAACGTGGGTGTGCCGCAATTGCACTTTTCATAGGGCTATGGGGAATGGCTGCTACATTCGCCATGTCCATGAAATGTGACATTTCAAACCCCTGGATATTGAGCGATAAGTGCCATCATATCGTTAGTGTAAACTGCTGCCCTAGATCTTCCCAATGTCATATCCTGCTAACAACGCTTTTCGATATCCAGGAATTACGTTGGCAAATTATCACTGCGTTTGACGTTTTATCAGAGCTCATGATGTTTGGAATGTTGGTATATCTCATCTGGGGATTGCAGATGGTGATGAGCCGAAAATTCGTTATAGCGGGCGCTTTTGCCTGCAGACTCCCGTAAGTGTCAACCACGATTGGATTACATTTGCCAAAGTTAACTGTTGGTGTCTGTCGAAATTAGCGTGGTAGGATTTTCTATATTTCGACTCACGACAATAAATGGCGTAGTAGATCTACGCGACCCAACAATTTCAATGGTGTCATACGTCATATGGACGGAAATACTCTTACATTACAGTATAATGGCGGCCACTATACCCTGCCTAAAGCCATTTTTCATTGCCTTCAACACTGGATGGGGCCAGGGAAGTCACAAAAGGACCAGCAGGTACCCTTCATATAATTCTGGGTCCAGTTCCAAGACTGACCCTAACTTTCCCAACGAGTTCGGGAAGATAATAGGCACTTCCCAGGCAGATTTCCGGAATGATGCCTCCGGAACAAGAACTCTATCACATACCCGCAACCGCGGGGAAGCTCCCTCGATTGAAAGTCACGAATCACAGCAGATGATAATTCGGGAGACCCGGGGTTGGACAGTTGAACATGAAAGCTTTGAAATGAGCAATTATGAAAATATGCATCTGGCATGATCTGTATGTGGTAGAGGGTAGCATGAGGTGACGGAGTCGGTATCAGGCGTTGGATCTCGAGTGTTTCTGTAGAGTACTCTGCAAGGTTACTTGAAATTATGGCATGATGCAATCAAGGCACATTTTTTAGACTTAAACATTCTCTCCCTTCAATAACACGGCACGCTCCCTCGTCAACACTTTGGGATGCATTTGCGCAGATAGCAATCATCCACGACATGATACACATATGGCCACCCCTACCGTCCTTCTCCTGAACAGGAAGTTAATCAGAGATAATTTCAGGCGATCACCCGACAGCTTGGGAGACATGGTACCCTTTGCCGAGTCCCATGCTGAATGACGATGCTTCGGGTACGCATAAATAATAACAGAACCCTCATAGGCAGGTCGAAATACCAATCAACTATCCATCGTTACGTATATAGTAGGCGGGTTAGCCTTATCTCTCAGGCAGCCACACCCACGCTTCTGCATCAGACTCTATGCTCAGGTAGGTGTCCTCCTTAGTCCTCTTGAGTTACTAGTCATCTTAGAAATCTGTCATTGCTTTGGCCATAAATTGTACATGCAGGGAATTAAGCGGAGATTACTAAAATTAGCTAACAGAGAGTTACCCAGCCGTTAGTTTAGGGTACGAACTAACGAGCCATTTTTTCCTCCACTCTTAGCTTTCATAACTTTACAGCCCCTTAATTCCAACCACAACCAAGGCATCCTACAGAGAGCCGACTTCGATTGGACATGATAAAGGATAAAGTAAGACTATCTCCCTCTGTGGTTTAGACTCGCATCGTTATCAGTCACTGCTTGTGGCAAATTTGACAGTGAGCAAGAGAAGACTTAGCTTGCTTGAACTCAGAATCCGATACCATATCCTACCAGCATTTTATGTTTGACTAATTAAGAAAGGGTGCCCATTTGCATTGAGTTAGGATTGTTTAACAAGGACGAATTTTTTTTCTACATTATGGTTCGTTTGGTTATTACCCGAGTCACTGATGCAGACTGGGACCAACTCGTTGAGGTCCAATTCAAAGCCTTTGCGTCCGAGCAATTCTGCCAATTCGTCAATGGAAAAGATACCCCTCTAAATCGAGAGCGGTGTAAAAAGAAATACACTTGCCATGAGCCAGAATTCTGGGGTGGTGCTCTGTGGCTGAAGGTCATTGATGCAGATGAGGTCCCGAGCAGCCACGCAAAAAGCAACGGAAATGGGAGTGTAAATGGGAACGGCAACGGAATCGGAAACAGCCCGACAATTCTGGGAGCTGCGCTTTACAGGCTCAATCCGAACTACTCTGCTGAAGACTTAAAGCGAACTGACCTGGAGCCGGAAAGCTTCAAATGGCTGGATGACCCGGAAGAACGACGGATTGCAGTTACGGTTATCCATGATGTGATGGATAGAAAAATGAGGTTTATTAAAGAGCCACACATTCGTAAGTCTAGATATCTTTTTATTCAAAAATTCTGCCTAACTCGCGAATATAGAACTCTCGATTCTCTTCGTTTCACCAGAACACCAGCACAAAGGGATTGGTGGCTCTCTGGTAAACTGGGGAATCCAGCTATCCAAGCAAATGATGCTCCCCCTTTGGGTTGAATCCTCAACTGCGGCTTATAGTCTGTATAAACGTCACGGATTCAAGGAACAAATCCGCTCGAAAGTCATAATAGGGTCTTGGGATATCGAATACTCAATTTTGAAATGGGAGCCTGAACAAAAGCATCAGCCGGTGAAAAGTAAATAAATCCCCCGACTTAGGGTACGAAATGATTACGAAGGCGTCTAAGAGGTTGTATTTTGTGTTCATTAGTTATATAGACTGTCGCGATGTGTTGGCAATACTTGGAGCAGGAATGGAAGGACAAACATTTCGTTAAGAATCCTGGAGCCATCCGTACCATAAGAAAACAACTTCCATTCTAATAGTATTACTATCAACTTTGTCAAATCTACATTGACCCGAGTAAGCCCCGCATCTATATAGCCTGAGGCCCTAGAATCCATGCGATGCCTAAGTATATTGATTGATGCATCTTGGCCTGAACAGAGGAGGTACCTAAGCCGAGGTTCGGCTCTCGGCCCGTCCCGCAATTATATTATATAAGCAAACATGACTAAGCAACACAATACAGATGACTAAGTTTAGTTAACCGTAACGTAATTACGAAACCTTAAAGATCTCTTTTAGCGTTTGACGCGGTGCAAAACACTTTGTGCCTGGGCAGTCGCGTTTAGTTTGGATCTCAAGTAGAGAGAGAGAGAGACGTTCATACACACCACCGTCGACATCAACCACCGTACCCAGGCTTGATAAGGAGGAGATGCACCAAGAACACGCTGCTATACAGACGAAGACCCTTTTCGTGCACTAAGCTGCAATGTATCTCCCTCGGAGCCTCATTTCTCATCTCTACCAGCAGCTGCTCAGGTCGCATAATCCATTATCTCCTCCAGTTTTAATCCTCGTGGCGTTGGAGCCAGATGCTCTATGTGCCTGTCGAATCCTCACAGCGCTACTGAAAAGGGACTATATACCTCACAAAATACAGCCTATCGCCGGATATGGCGACCTTTCTCAAGCTGGCGCGGAACTCGTGCACCCAATGCATACATCGAACGGTGGGAGTGGAGGGGTTGTGGTGTGTTTAGGCGTGGGTGGCCTGGTTGATCTGTGTGAGACATTGGGTCTAGATGTGAATAAGGATGAGCCGGGGAACATGGGAGGAATCGAAGTCTGGGTCATCGACGCGCGAAGACCGTGGAATTTGACGAACGTTTTTGGAGGAATGGGTGAACCAGCCACGCCGAGAGGATCTGATACCCATGCTATAGCGGGCGTTGACGGAGTAGATAGGGGCCGCTTGACCGATATGTACAGACCAGGCAAGGGAGGCATTATCGCCTTTGATGATGGTGACATTGACGAGGAACTTGCCGTTGAACGTGAAGCCTACTATACTCTCGAGACTCTTCCTGAAGTTGGTGAGGAAGATAGTGACGACGACGATGATGCTACATCAGATGAGGAGATACAAACACAGGGTAAGAAGAGGAAATCTTGGTCGGGCCGGTATGATGGTGATATCGCTGCATCTGAAGATGAAGATGGTCGCCCAGCCCAACGACGAAGGAGTAATTCGGTAAGTTTTCTGCACTACTTGCTTAAGCTGGCCTCCTAACACTTTAGTAGGGGTCTTCAATTGCTTCACCCCTAAGACTGAGAGAGGGAAGACACGACTCCTCCCAATCGTCTCGATCCAGTTCACCAGTTTCTGATACTCCATCTCTCATCCTACCCAAAGAACCTTCGACACGTACACTACGAAAACGTTTAATCCGACTCAAACGAAAACATGAGTCTGTTCTTCAAGCCTACTATTCTCTTGGCACATCATACTCCGAGCCTATCTCGTCCTTACTATATTCTCTCGCATCTGAGCTTGGCCGTGACGACAATGACCTGTTATGGCTTGCAATTGTTGGCGTTTCGAGTCTGGAACTCTCTGGACGAACAATGTCCGGTGTGGGCATATCAGATGCTTCCGAATCAGGTGGCTCAGCTGGATGGGGCGGGCAAAGAGGAGAACGCATCCGACAGATATTACGAGACGAAGTTCGTCGTCTAAACCCCCCAGATGACAACGATGCTGGTCGAGAGGCACTAAGAAGCGAACTAAATGGGGTCATACCTACGAACGCGCGGTCACCAACCGACACCTCTATTCTACTCTCCCCAGAACCCCGTCTCTTATTATTGCGACACTGGTCACTCTATGACAGCATGCTGCATAGTCCATATCTTGCCCCTCGGCTGCATGTTTGGAATGAAACCGGACGAAAACGGCTAAGAAAGCTGCTGGCAAAAATGGGCGTCAGCTTAACACAGTGCCAACAAAATTATACCCATATGGATATGGACTTGAAACGTGACTTACGCCAGAAGATGCTTCAATATGCTCCCATGTACGGCATGGAAGGGCTGGTCCCTCCTGCGTCTTCTGGCGGACGTTCAGGATCACGCGAAGGATGGGGTTTTGCTCGTTGCTGGGGATGGAAGGCCTGTCTATCCGCTACAGATGTTGGCGTGATACTGGGGTCTATACTCGAGGTAGGCTCCTTAGGTCCATCTACAACTGTTTCCCAGGCCTTTTCTTCTCATTCTGGCGAAGTGTTGGCTGGTGCAACTCAGGCAGCCAAGTTGGGAACCGATAGTGCAAATGTGCACTCTCGGTTTTGGAGTGCATATGACGCCCTGGCTTCCACTTCAGATTCACCTACGCAACTCCTCACGGCAATCCCCTTAGCTCAACACCTCCACCGAGCGATCTTACGAACGGGGACTGCTCTTCTCTCGAAACATCAAATTCGCCATCTTCGTGCTTTTCGCATTGCTGTGGTGAAGGAAGGGCCTGATGTGAAGCTCTTTACAAACCCAGGTGCACTTACAAAGCTGGCATTGTGGATCGGTGAGGCCGTCCGTATACAAGAGAAGGAAAAAGGACCTGGGATGAAGATTGGGAAAAGACGAGCAGCTGGCACGCCACTGGTTCTTGCTGGTCTGGATGAAGACCGAAACGTCTATGTTGTAGTCGGAACAGGTGGAGGCGGTGGTGTCATTGACTTTACAGCTATGGCCAAACGACGCGAAGAACAACGGAAGAAGAAAGAAGCACGAGAAAAGAAAAGGGCTGAGAGAGAAGAACGACGAGCCAAAAGAAGAGAAGAGATGCAAGATGATGACGACGAGCTGGCTGAAGAGGCAGACTCCTCCGAATCAGATACGGAATCCGACTCAGAGTCGGAGCCGGAGCTGGACAGCTTCAGCAGCAAGAACCTGATACGAAATCGTTTCGGTATTGCATTCCAAGAGGTTGTTCATGAGACCAACGCCAGAGTACGAATAGACAGCTTCGAGCATTGTGTTGTTGAAGTACAAAAAGAGGATCTCGGGGCATTTCTTGAGGCTCTTAGCTTCAGGAGTGTGATTGGATGATACCAACCAAACTGTGCTCTTAATTCACTTTTTATACTACATACCTTGAAACTGTTTTATGTTATTTCGTTTGCTGCGTTGGAGCGTTTTTGAAAAGCATCTTATTCCCCCTCTCCCATTTATTTTCACGTTTTCCCCCGTTTGTTGCCTTCGCAATTTTCATTTTTCTTTGACATTTTATGAAATCTCAACTGGGATGACGTTCGTCTGTTGTACTTAGATTAAACTGGGTCTTCTAGTTTACACTCTTTTCGCTCTACTGTATCTTTTCCTATGCTCGCTCCTTGCACTTTGTTCTGTTTTATCTTTATTTTTACCTTATTTTATTTTTTTATTTTTATTTTTATTTTTATTTTTTATTTATTTTTTATTTGTTTTTTTTTTTTTTTTTTTTTTTTTTTTGGAAATTTTTGTTGACTCTTGATGTATATACTGGTCTAAATTGTACGGGGCTCATGATAAGCAAGCGAATAATGAACGGCATATTCTTTTAAATTATGGTTAAATAAATCTTTATGTGCATAACTCTGCAGGGTAGCAATATTGCCCAAGCGCTGGGCCGAATCTTGTATTACCAATGTAAAGGGGATATAATCTAAGCTCGAGTGAAAAGAAAACGCACTACAAATTAGAGACGTAGAAATTTTTAGGGCCTGTGTTATGACCTTCCCCGAAGAGACCCAGCAAACCACACGCCCCCTATCCCAAACAAAAGTGATAAACCAATGATATGTTTGCTCCAATCATCGGCGTCACGCACTTTCATCGGTCCAGCCAGTTTATGAATAGGGGAGCCTGTTTGTGATGGCAAGGTAGGCTTTTTTTGACCCACAGAAGAGGGGTCAGTGGTATTTTCCAGGTGTTCTTTCTCCATCTCTTTCCATTGTTCTACTAACTTGGCAATGGCCACAAGGTCTTCCTTGACCGAATGCTCAGTGTTATTCACACTGCTGCCTGCTTCAACTTCCACTTCCTGAACATTACCGAAGAAGTCCATGACGGTTCTCAGTCTACCCTCTGCTTCACCACCAGGGAATAGATCCCATCTTACCCCAGGCTGGGAATGGATCTTTGACTCATCGTAGGAATCAAACAAGTCGCCTAGGGTACGCTTGGAGTTCGCACTGGTGACTTGTGTTTCGAGGAATTCTAGGATATAATAAGTCCAGCGGTCGATGACAGCAACACCGACATCGCTGTCTGCATGGTGGGAATAAGAGGACTGGTCTACTTCGCTTGAGCCTGTAGCGATTATATTCGGGGAATATAGATGTGTGTACATGGTGTTCGCCTGGCATGTATCAATCATAAAGAGCAACTTGTTGTATCGCTTCTTCTCCCACATCTGCCCAAACGCGTCCGCCAGGTCCCAGGCTCCGATTTCCTCCGAATCCTGGAATTTAAGAAACTGGTCACCACCGTGCCCGGTCATGTAAACAAGCACATTGCTACCGGCGTCCGAGCCCAACCTTTTGCTCTGCGGCACATCATCACCCAGCCTGTCAGTCAACAAGCGGATGAAGCTCTCCACGGTGACCTCATAACCACGGTAATCAACTTCTATATTGTCTCCGTATAGATCCAGCGCACGATCTGCATTGTTATATACCGTCCCGGGGAATGCGTTTCGAGGATTACATGCCATGTCGTCCGGTAGCATAAGGATAATCTGGGAGTCTGGTATCCCAAGGCGCTTCACTGTCCGATATAGAGATAGCACATTGGCGAGATGGCGATAGTTGAACCAAAAACGGGAGGTAGACACTAGCACTGCCCAGTTGGAGGTATGCGCCGCGGAGGAGACGCCGCTGGTAAGGAAGATGGCAAGGAGGGCGGCCAGGAAGGGGTAGAGGAGCCGTAGCTCCATCTCGATATCGACCTGTGGAACGGTATCACGGCAACGTATCAGGATTGCATTTTATCATTTCCCGTCCATCAAAAGGTACAAGTCGAAGGCGAAGTTGGAGTCGAAGTCGTCGATGATAATATGTAGTTGATCATAATAATAATAAAAATAATAATAATAATAATAATGCTATCGTTGATATGGAATATCAAAAGCGTCGTCGAAACTTCCCCGGCTTAGTCATCATGCGGGAGTGGCCCAAGCTTTTCTCGCCCTTCGTCCCGTTTAGGAAGTCTGATGAGGCTTCAACCTCACCTTCGATTTGTCCTTTTGCTCTTTCTGATATATCAAGTCTCCGGCTTCTCCTCATCCCCTCTGTCGTCCTTTTTACCTCCTGTTGTGTGCTCGTCTTGTGTTCGCCCCGTGTGAGCGTTTCGGCAGGTCGATATTTATAACCCCTGTCTGCTTGCGACGATCTAGCTAGTTAAGTTAGTTAATTCTCTCCTCAGCTCGCTCGGCCCTGCTGCCTGGCAAGACAACACTGCTTCTCGTACTCGGTCGCCAGCCTTCGACTCAGCAACAACAATTACTGCTTCTATCTCTATCTGTTCATCGCAGAGACGTGAATAGTCGGGCGTGAGAGTCTCTTCGTCCGGTCCTCGCGTTGACATTCACCAGAGAACCACAGCATATCGTAGCTCAGCTCTTGACAATACCGGGCGCAATTCTTGTATCTGACAATTGAGCAAGCATTTCTGCTGGTTGTGCAGCTCCCGAAGCTCCGTCCAAGTAGACACAATGACGAAAATCGAAGAAAGCATCCATTCAACAACAGTCGAGATGGAGAGTTCACGTCTAATGAAACTCCCGTTTGAAACCCTCGAGGCTATCTTCTCCCATGTGAGTGTGATAGCTCATATACCTGTAGACAGCCTTCTGGCCACTTTCTACTCTACCTTGCTGTTCACGACTGATACCTGTTGTGACTGTGTTTTAGGTAGACCCAGAGGATCTAGTCAGCCTGTGTTTGGTTTCAAGGTCGGTCAGGGAGCATGCTGCTTCTCGACTCTACCGATCTCTCGAATGCATTCTCCAGCCCAAGAGCGATCTCGAGCACAAGTGGCCGATTGACCGCCTCGCGAAGGAACTGGAGACATTGACAACAAGTGATTTCAACTATGCGGCATATATCAAATCAATATACTTGGACACAGCCCCGCTTACCGATGATAATGACTATCAGTTCCAAGAGCAGATAGCAGATCAGTTTAAATATGATACCCCCTGTGGAAAATTTTTCAACAACCTCCTTCTTGCGTCAATCAAGAGGATATCAACACTGGAATCCTTTCGGTATGGACAATTTGCTTTATATAAACCATAAAGGAGCACTAGCTATCTCATATATAATACCAGGCTTGTTCTAACTAGCAGTATAGATGGAACGCGGGCCTTGAACTCAATCCGGCAGTCTTTGCGGCGCTTGCAAAGATCCCAAGCTTGCAGCATATATGCATTCGAATGCCTGCGGGCGTAGAACCTATTCAGAAAAAGTCTACGCCAGCTCCTCCTCCAGGCCCTCCGACCCAGCCACTGCCTCTTCCAGTTCAGCTCAACCAAATTCATATGCATTCAGCACCTCCAATGGCCTCAGTTAATCATCTATCCCACAATTCTACAGGCTGTCGTGACAAGTTCAAGAGCCGCAAATATTGGGATCCAACTCAGACTTTCTCTCATTTCAACAGAATAAACA